CTTTTAGACATCCAATTGAAATCGCAGAAAAGGAAATAAAGTACCGAAGTAGTTTTGTGTTAGATTCAAGTCGCTCTGTCGAGCATTAATAACCAACTACAGCAATTCATATCTGGCTTCACAACTGACTGTATTTAGTAGTTTAAGTGTAATCGCCTCAACAGCTTGGGGATCAGTCAACTAACTTAAGCTTTTTTCTTGACGTCTCAAACCTGGGCAAAGTCACCTGTAGCAGTCAGATCAGGATAATCAGACAATTGGTGCAATTTCGGATGCTCTCGTTCGTAGCAATCTTTCTTGTACGTCGACTGAGTTCAGCGTCTTCGTTGCTTGTGTAATGATTTAAGAATGATTGCTTCGGCTGGCGCAGAGCTTGAATACCTCGAATAACTTGGATTATATCACACGAACCAATTGTTGATCAGCTGTAGAATTTATGCACGTGTCTTTTGTAGCTTAGGCCTAAATATAAAACATATTAATTTTATTGTAATGATGTGGTTCTACTGTAGTGTAACTAAAATTCCGTTGCGCTCGACAACGCTTTACCACACCTCTCCGCGCTTACTCATAACGTGCGGTTAGTAGCGGTTACTTTCCAAACACCTGCTCGCAAAACGATTGCGATTTCGCCACACATTCGCCGGCCACCAGCTGCGTGACTTACTCCCTCCAACGATTTTATGCTAATTTAGTTGCAGCAGAAAAATGCCAATTTCCTACCGAAATTCCTACCACTAAAAGTTATACAACAAAAACAAACAGTACTAATGAGAATGTTTCTATGTATGTATATACCATAAGTATACGTACGTTACAAGATTGTACCGTGAAATACCACTTAAGTCCATTTCTCAGCATTATAAAATTACTTTTCGTTACGCTTTATGATCACTTTAGCATAAAAGTCTGAAAAACAAAAATAGTTTACTTTCCTACTAAAGCAACTGCTAAGCAAAAGGCGGCTCAAAATCCAAGGAAAAAATGCGCTACGGTCAACTACTAATTTCCATAAAAACGGCTCGCACTCTCGAATATGCTCTAAGCATGCGCAGAGCAAACAGCACGTGTCCTCAGCTGAGCGCAGGAAAACTCATAAGTTCCGACAAACCCCTTTGTAGCGCGCATTGAACTTGCCAACGTATCATTTAACGAGTACTTGCTTAACTAAAAGGGAGAGGAAGGAGGATAAGTGACGTAAATTAATATGGAACAAATGCAAGAAAAACGGCATTCAAATTTTGTGTTGAAAAATCGACAAAATTCATATTGCCACGCTGCGTTTTCTTAATTTTCACTCTTATGTATGCCAATGTGTATGTATGTTATGTATGTATATGGAGTCGGTTCGGGCGTCAATGGTGATAGAGGCGATAAGAAATGCATTTTTAATGAATGTAACGTATATCTTTGATATTAAACAAATATACACACTTAAGTATATACAGATATACATAATATATGTATACATACTTACAAACATATATACATATCTTATGTATTTATACATATATCCACTGCCAAGACAAGCCATTGGTGAAAATGGAGAATGTGTAATAATTCTAATAGAAAACGAAGCGAAGCGATCGCGGAAGTCAGCATGATCGGCGCAAGATCACTTTATGGTTTGGAATTTCATTTCATTTTCAATGGCATTTAAGTAATCAATTATCAATTGTGTATTTGCTAGTTGATAAAGCAAATGGAACTGGAAGTGAGTTTGCCTTTCCAACTGACAAATAAACGCATGCGCAGTCATTAAATTGTCGTTTTATGTGCGGCGAAGGCAATGAAAGTGTTTTGAAGTAAGTAAAGATTATTGACCTTAAACTTAGAGTCACTTTCTTCAGAGTTTTCGCTTACTTCCACTTTTTTTTGTGTGGAAAACGTGATTGCGTAAGTGAAATAAAATTCAGATTGAAAAAAAGTAAAGAAATATATAACAAATCAAAACAAAACGAAACCAACAAACAACCTCAGTTATGACACTGCAATATTCTTCAGAAAGTCACGCAAAATGTCTTTCTGAAACTAAGATATGTTTCCCTAAAAGAGCGCTGTAAAACGCTTACTCCATTTTGAGTTACCCAAAACGAGCACAAAACCCGAGTAAATAGAGTTCTCAATAGATTTGCGGTCTTACCCCTATATCCAATGTGAAATTTACCAATGTATTTCCGGAATGATGCAACTCCATGTAAAAATCTGTTAAAACTGATAGAACTTTCCTGGTCAGCTAGGTTCTTTAGATGATCCCCAAGATGAGCATCGCACTTCAACTCCTGTCAAAATGCAAAGATTTCCCGTAATTTGAACTTAAGTGTCGAGAAAATGCCTTGAACTTTTCTGCCTGTATCTAATCCCATTAGCTTACCTGAGTATTTGACGGTGTAAGATCAATGGTGTTTTAGCCTTGTTCTGGCGAAGGCGGAACAGTGAGGAAGGAAGTGTTGAGATATTTTGTAACTCTACTTCTTCAAAGCAACTTCTACAAGCGACATTTTTAATCTTACTGCGTGGACATAGATAAAGCTATGATTAGTTATATCATGTGGGCATTAGTGCTCGAGCTAGAGAGAGAGAGAGGTCAAAAAGCATCCAGCAGTAAGATGAAAATCATACTTGATATGTTTTAAGTGCAATAAATTAGGCTATACTAGAAAAAAAGAGATCTGAAGCGACTGTGTCCTGGGGCATTATGCCTCTCCTTTGAAGCACGAAGCTCCATAAAACCGCAAAAAATAATAGAAATAGATTCTAAAGAAATGTTTTCGCAATAATCTCAGCTGACTGATGTCGCTAGGCATCCAAACTTCAAGTCTACGATATCCATGCGGAATAATGGATTAAACTGGACATTAAGCAGTCGAGTCTTGTATTGGATTATGTTGTTCTTAAACAAGTTTGACTAAATTGATTTCTTAGAGCGACCTTGATGAGGTTAGCCGTTATTGAAGGGATAAAAAAACCTTCGTCTCCACACTCGTTCTGCTATCGATATATCAAGTGAAGAACCGCTCAATTTTACTGTCCATAATGACTCCCCAATGTATTGAAACGAAGTAACGTCTAACTTACCTCGATTCCAAGCGATCGATGTGGTTTCATATACTTCAATTTCAAAACCTTTCTTGCCAACACAAACTTTGCATTCCTTCTCAAGTGAACTTCAGTCACTGTTCTATTCTCTGCTGAAAAAATATGTCCAAATACTAATTAATACTTTCTAATTGATCCACTCACCATTTTTCACTTTCATCCACAAGTAACTAGGTAAATGGAATTAAAATTAAATTTTATAATTAATGATGTGTTACCTCAGTTTTTGCATACCCCCATTTACCTGAAGTAGATGTACGTGTTTTGTAGCCTAACACCTTAGGGGAAAATTCACTTTTCATAAAACGCCACGCATCCCAAAACCATTTCTCATAGACACACTTTCTCTTTCGTACTCGCTTTCTCTCTCTCTCTTTGGCTACTACAAGCATCATTCGCCAACGAGGCTACCATTACCACAAGCCAAAGGTCACTGCGAATTTAGCGCAGGAAAATAGAACGATTGATGATCATCTTCTTTTCGGACGCTTCAAATGCGATTACGAGTATTTGGTTTACTTTCGCTTGTCTTCTCTTGTTTTGCGGTTGCTGCGTAAGTCGCCGTACAAAAGAAACCGGATTGTTGTGATTCGTAATAGATGATGTGGTGGAAAAGATAACAAATCGTTATGGTACAAAATTCTTGAGGATTTACAATACATTGTGGTGGTCAAAAGGGCGTCAAATACAATTTGTATAATATTTTCAAAACAACCATTTGTCTGCTCAATTGAACTCCTGTGGAGAGATTAAATGAAGATTTGACATTTAAAAATTGCTCAGCTTATTACCAAATGCACGAATGTGGAACAAGTTAATGAGTTTAGGATTTTTATTTTAACATCACGGTTTCGGTAAAGAAAAAGTAATTTGTTTGACATTAGTTTTCCGAAATTCCTTGAGGAACATGCTGGACTAGTGAAGCTGTAATAATCTATCAATATAAGCTATATGATCACAATAATGGATAGATACTCGTATTATGTACAAGACCTCGAGTCAGAACTGGATGCAACGACTTTCCCTGCGAAAGAAGAATCTAAAAGTAAAAGACTCTGCCTTAGGCGGTTACATACAGTTAGAATTTTCAAAAAATCGTTTCACAGTGCTTGGAAGTACAAGGCAGGAGTGGAGCGGAGAAAAACGCGTTTTTCTCAAAATAGTGTTTTCAAAGTCGGTGACCAATATTACTCGAAAACGGCTAAACCGATTAGTCTCAGATTTTAACACGAGCTTTTTAAATATATTTTTTAGTAATTCATCGTAGATTTTTTCTCTCCGATAAATATTTTTGTTTTTTTAAATAATTTAAGGCAGACATTTCGGTGCAAAATCGATTTTTTTTTTTGAGAAACGGTCATTTTATCAAAAAATTTTATTTTGCTTATTCCTTCGATTGATTACTAGATTTAACATTACTTTAACGAAATCTATTTAGTTTTTAAATTTCAGATGATCCAGTTCAAAGATATAGTGGTCACCGCAAAACGTCTTTTTTGTAAGGAGTTCCCGGAGAGCATTTTTACTAGTACTGAGTCTTAGAATATAGTGAAAAGATACCATAATATGTGTATACATTTTTGGATCAATAAATTTAAAAGTTTTCTCAGGAAAACCTCTGGAAAATTCGTTCTGGTATTCGTTGTGTTGGTCTCTACTTTACTGACACATTCAAGCTGGCCTATCTATTAAGAGGTGATATGAATCTCGATACCATTGATAAAGAAGTAACACAGGAAATCTTTCACCGACTTTGTCGTTATTAACTGGATTGTATTCAGAAGTATGGAGCTTCTATTGACGACAACTTTGCTACTGTAATACACCCACTCGAAGATAACACTGCAAAAATTTGTATGAAATTATTATGTTCCCTGTACTTCTATCTTTTTTTTTCTTCCTATCGTTCTTATTTCCGTCCTTCCTCAGGACGCACTACCGCGCCACATGTTATCGATTCGTTTTTGCCACGTCACATTTCTGCGTAAAACCCGTCGATAATTACCTGTAATTCACTTGTCAACACCGTTCGATTCAACTCAATTACTTGTTTGCGGTTTTGCTCTATAATTTCTTCCCAGACGATTCACCTTGTGTTGTCTTACAAATACTCGCACAGGTAGACAGACAGTAGACAACTTATGACAGAACCAGCATGAACAGGCACACAAGGAGCTACTGCATACAACTGTACTAGTATATATGTATGTATGTATATTTGCTTCGGTTCAGTGCAGTGTCTTTACTTCTTCACTTCTTTTTGTGTCATCGCTTGTTTGTTATTTTAGCAGATTGCAGGAGTATAAGGTAAACAAACATTTTTCACACATTGAGATAATGTCCTTTAAGTGTGGCTTTGCGGTAATTGTAGGCGTTTTCGGTAGAGTATGCCATTGTCGGTTTATTTGTTTGTATCTACCGTCAGTTGTCAGCTGTCAGTTGTAGGTACCAGCTGTGTTGTCCTTTGCTCAGCTGATTTTGTTTTGTTTGACAAGTTGTTTCTGGACGTCACTTGTGTAAATGGCTTAATCATTTTCTTGGAAATTAAGTGAACAAATATGTAAGTAGATAAATGGGATAAAAAGTAATCTATTGAGGGGATTCCTCTAAATCTTTGTTTATTGACAGAATTGCTAGCAGAAGGAGTTGAAATGTGTACTCAGTTCTTGAGGGAAGCTATTCAAAAGTAAGGAACTATTTTGTATAGATAAATAACGTTTCGATAACAAAGTCTAATCCGGCAGAATCTTGGAAAAATGTCCTTGCATGGAAACGATGTAATGATACGTAACGTATAGGAACGAGCTCAAAAGGGCATATTTACATTTCAGTTGGAACACTGATAGAGTTGTGTGACAGATAGCAATTATAAACTGCGTTTTCTGATACAAAGAAGATCAAAGAAGACCTCTAGAATCGACCTTATCTTCTACCGTTTTGGTTAGATAATAATCTAAATATTCTGTATGCAACAGAGAAGAAGTAACCAGGTGTACAAATGATAGTCCTCATATGAAGTTCGCTTCATATGAATAAAACTCTGTTCTTCAGGCCGAGATTGTGGGAATACTCTCTCCTGAATCAGTAAGTCTATTAGCTTTGTTGTGAATAGTCGAAAAACAACGACAAAGTCACACAAAGACCGTTCAGCTGCTCTAAAGGCTGCTTTCAGCAATGGATTTAAAAGAACCCCTCAGGTTATGGATGACCACAAGAACCAGAACTTCTCGTGAAAAATTTAGATAGATGTAGTGTTAATGATGCACAGCAGAAAAGGCTTTTAGGAAAAAGGAATTTTAGTAATATTGTTAAGGGAATCACAGGTCACTTAACACTGAGATCTTTCAAGTGGAGTTGAAAGAATGCAGAGCATGCGGCGCATATGATGAATCTTTAGAGTGTTCGCGCTGCGAATGTCTAAATCTCAACAGGTGGGGACAACAAAAGCGTTGAAAATATCAACATTATAAAGTTGGAATTGGAAAAATCTAATGGAAATTATAGACCATTGGTCTGAATTATTTGATTTACAAGAGAAAGTCTTCTGTTGTCAAAGGAATAGTTAGTGTGATAACGCTGTTTATGGAAATTCGAGCACTACAGGAACTTAGCGGATTATAAGCTGTTGGTAACTGAGGAAGAAATAGGTCTTCTCGGCGATGGACAAATAGGTCGAAGAACTGATCTTTGAATTTCGTATATAGTTTGTATAAACTTTTTTCACGAGATCATATAAAAAGAAAACAATTCGAAAATGCCTTTGATGTCTAAATTTTCCAATCAAACACATGTATAAATAGTTGGTCGCAATTAGGCCATGTGAAGTCACAATTCTGTTTAATAGTTATATTCATACGTATATAAGCATTAAAAGCGGTGACTCTTTAATAGAAACAATAATAAAATTACGGTCCGCTCTCATAAGCGTTCCTACATCTTTAGCAGTCAGAATGTACCCAAATAGACTTATCGTTACGTTAATAAAAATGATTTATCGACTTTTCGCTTAGATAAAATGCATATAAATTACGCTTTGGAATCGCACCTTTTGTGGCAACTCGCATCTCTTACGCTTCTAGTGGAGACAATATAAATTTTATGCCCCAAACTTGTCTATAAATCACAGGCACAACGTTTGCTTGTACTGCGCAGGCGTGTAGCTGGCAGAAAATGCACGTGTTACACACGCATACAAACAAACAAACCCAAAAAAAAACGAGAAAAATAAATGCCATAAAAGGAGTCAACAAAGCATATTTGGATATCCTCCACTTGCTCCAACCAGACAAACAAACACTGGTATACACCATATATGTGTGTATACATGTGTTTGTGTGTATATGCATGACATATGTACACATCAGATAAAGTGTGAGCAACGATTTTTTAAGCAAGCAGAAAAACTCCTTCAAAAAAAAAAAAGAAATCTAAATAAATTTGTCAGGAGGTTGACGACGACGACGTCTACAACAATAACCGTGACGTTAAAGCATGGCAAGGCGACAGCGCACACTCGGGACGCAGCCAAGTGGTATAGCAAACAGCGCTGTGTCACGCATGTACATAAATAAATAACTATATATTTATAAGCATATATATTTATATATACAATAGTAAATATATATTTGATATCTAACATATATACACATAGCGATATATAGCAGACACATACTTATATGTATATATCTACACATTACTAGTGCCTACAGCGTGCTGCGCATGCGCTACGTGCATTTCGTCCTGATTTGCACATAACTTTTAAAATAGCATAAGTCGACTTAAATTAACGCGTTCACTTTAAGTTTTCGAAACAAATTATGCCGCACTCGACTTTAGGTTGCGACATAAACAGTAGCCGAGCATGCCTGCTGCTATAAACAATAAAAAAAATTACTCATATATACACAGATTTTTATTATAAGCGAAAATAACTAATTTAGCTTATACTGACTTACGCCTTTTTTAGTTTTTTATCACAAATTACATAAAAACACGCCTTCGATGCCAACAACTAACAGCGTGGGTCGCGCAGTGGGTGTGTATATATATGTATATATGTATGTATTTTAACCATATATAATATGTACATAAATATATGTATATATAAGTATATAATACATATCAATATGTATGCAGTGGCTCCCCCGTGTGGTTACGCGCTTGCTCTCCAGATACATATATGTATATGTGTTTACCTGCCTGTCGGGACGTGATTGAAACCCCTAATCTGTAGAACCTGTCTTGTAGCCTTTTTTTTGGTTGTCGCTTTTTTATTGTTATTCTTGCTTATTGTTGTTGTTGTTTTTATGATTGCTCTTTGCTTACTATTTGCGTTGTAGTTTTTTAATTTTATTACGCTTATTTGCCTTGTAGTTTTTACTTTTTGATTTGTTTACTTTTTTTTGAGCATTTTTTTATCGTTTATTTTTGTTTTGTTGTTGCTGCAGCAACGAACCTGTTCTCCTCTAACTCACACAACACTCTTTATTTGTAGCGTGTATTCCTTTGGCTATAATTGTCCACCTGGTTTTCTTAGTTTGTGTTTTTTTTTGTTTTGTTTTTTTTTTCATTACAATTTCGGTGTTTTTCTCCTCCGCGCGCCGCTTGTCTTGGCCATTAGGATCTGTAGTTGGCTGACTGATTGCTGAAAGGATTTTAATTTCATGCTGTGCTTTTGTAGTTCAAATCGAGTACACACAGTGTGGGGGAAAAGTATGATAACTTGTTGCTTGCGTGTCGTTGCTTTGTGTGCGACTGTCTCCCCCGCCTCGCAGCTAAGTGAGTATGCATCTCAGGCATTTCACTTTGTGTCTGCTCCGTACAATTAAAGACGCATAATGGCAATCACTGACAGTACAGTCAGATTTTTGATGATTAACTGCCTTTTTATGTTTTTTTTTGTTTGAAAGCCTGGTTTTCTTAAAGCAATGCAGGCTTGTCTTGGATTCTTCTCAAAATTATCGTATATTTCGGTAATTCTTTGTTTATGCACAAAAGAAAGGATGAGCAAGTTGTCAGTGCACGCATTAAATCTTATGACAGTGAAATGGAGAAGACGAAAAGAAGTTTTTATACAATAGTTTTTTATTGTTAAGAAATGTTTGTCGTTTTGAGCTAGTGTCTTTAAAAACGATCGAATGTCTAAAGCTTGTAGTTAAAGAAACATTAAGAAAATATAGATTGATTAATTAAAATAAAATCTTTGTGATGTAAATATGTAAAGTAGAATTTGTGAGGAAGAATTGCGTTCAGCTCTATACATTTGATATGCTCGCACATTATAGGAACACAAGCATATGTGGCTGGCATTGTACTACCACTAATTATATGAAATGATAAAGAATTACCGGCATAAACATACGACTATGTATGTACTCATATACATATATATATGTATGTATGCATATATTATTTTCCTTGTTACTCCTTTTTCGAGTACGGACCCTTTTAAAGTTTATCTATCTCACACGATTGATGGCTATGGTCTTTGCAACGTGTCAGTTGATTTTCGTATCAGCTTTTATGCGTAGTACCAACCTACTCCATGTAAATTTTGTTCAGCAGCAACCTCTGCTTTCTAGTTGAATCCAATCAAACGACATTCGACTAGAGATTTTCTCAGAGTATGGCCTCCTCTTTCGTTAAACTCCATAGCGCTTTATTGCTTATAGTTTTGGGTCAGCATATTCTGCAGATTATTCGTTGACGTTTGTTAATGAATACTTGGAGTCTCTATGTGATGGAGTTCGAGACCCGGCACGTTTCGCTTCCATAAAACAGCGGCACAGGCGGAGAATATTCTGAGCTTTGTGCTTTTGGAGTTTTGGGAGTTTGCCCGCATGGATTGCAGCCGTCCAAATGACGCAGTTGTCTTGCTCATCCTACATTAGACCTTCACTTCTACACCTCCGTCAATTATACTCGGAGTAACAGTACACCCAAGATAGCAGAAGCCGTCGACGAACTCGATTTCAGAATTGTCAATCTTTTGTTTTCTTCTGTTGGAGTGATTGACTTTCATGGCTTTTGCATTTGAGATGTTTATCTCAAGTCCGACAGTGCGTGCCAGTCGACTCGGTTATTAGCCTCTTCACTTACATATGTATGAATAGATCAAGCTAGTAAATTAATAGCCCTATATATTTTTTTGGAAAATAATACACAAAAGTTGGTCGAGATATATTTTCTCTACATATATTTCATGAAATTAAGAATTGAACCAAATCTCCCATACAAAACCTAACCTCAAAAGCTCTAAAAGTATAGGAATAAACGAGTAAGAGTGCTTGTAGCTGAATTCAATTTTAAAACATATAATATATATCTATATAGTAGTCATCGAAACCAATACACTGATTATAGTAATTGTCCAACTTTTCGGTACGTTTTTTGATAGTAAAAGACATATTTACATATTTTTTGAAAATATATTTCAATCTATGTAATTAGCCTTCATTATTGAAAATATTCTGTCCAGCAAGCATTCCATTGAACTATGGAAAAGTTCGCTGAGAACCAGATCCAAGCAAAACGCAGCAATACTTCTTCTTCAAATATGAACGTTTGTCAGTGATTTCGTGCTCCAAACGTGCCCAAAAAGCTATATATCACGTGATCCAAGTAGAGGTACTTTTTTCAATAGCCTTTTTTTGACAGATCACGCGAGAGTTGGCTATATTAATGACATGTTTGTCGATTAGGTATCTACAAGTAGCCAGAGGCATATTTATGTCCTCCTTACTAGGATCTAGTTGTAGGGTGGTGTCTGTTCTGGCTAGTTCATCTGCTACGCAGTTCCCAGGGATGTCACTGTGTCCTGGGACCCATTGCAGATTTACCGTGAAATAGGATGACAGATCCGCTAGAAGATCATGGCAATCTTTCACTATCTTCGACGAAATCCTATGAGACATCAGAGATTTCAAAGCCGCCTGGCTGTCTGTATATATAAATACACTTCTTGTTGTGATTATACTTTTTGTTAGTACAAGAGGGCTTTCTTTAATTGCAGTGACCTTTGCTTGGAAGACACTGCAGTTATCTGGTAACCGGAAGGCGATTTTGGTATCTAGTTTGGCCGAGAAGACACCGCCGCCTACTCGGTTATCCAGTTTGGAACCATCCGTATAGAAGCGTATCCCTGCTTCCTTGTCCACTACGTCCCTTTCCCACTCCTCTCTGGAAGGGAAGGCAATATTGAGGACCGGATTTAGGTTCAGCTCCATAGGATTGCGAAAATCAGCAATTGTAAAATTATGTTGAGTGCCTGGCTTGGCGTAGTTCTGAGAGCTCCACTGATGCAAATACTAGCTGCTCTATGTATACTTTCCACGCTTCTTATCGCATATTTCTTTTCTGTAATTGGCTACCATACTACTATATGGAAAGCCTTACGCCTGAACAACGTTTATAAATCATTCAACTTTATTATCAATAGGTAGGTTAACACGCAAAATTACCGCATTTGAGACGAAGAGCAACCTGAAAAGATTCAAGAGCTGTCATTTCATCCAGAAAAAACAACGGTTTAGCGTGGTTTGTGGGCCGGTGGAATCATCGGTCCATATATCTTCAGATTTGATGCCAGTGAGAAGGTAACCGTCAATGGCGACCGTTAACGCGTCATGATAACCGACTATTTGATACCTAATTGATGAAGCTCGTGAACCCGGCGACATTTGTTTTCAACAAGAAGGCGGCACTTCCTACACTTCGCATCAATCAATGGATTTATTGAGAGAACACTACGAAGAGCAGATAATTTTACGTTTTGGGCCGGTCGATTGGGCACCAAGATCATGTGATATCACACCATTAGACTTCTTCCTCTAGCGATATGTAAAGTCTAAAGTCTATGCGGACAATTCCGCTTCGATTTAGGCCTTGAAGTAAAACATAACGCGTGTCATTCGCCAGTTACCAGGTTCGAAATGCTCGAACGAGTCATCGAAAATTGGACTCAACGGTTGGAGCATCTGCGACGTAGCCGCGGTCAACATTTGAAAGAGGTAATATTCAAAACATAAATGACAAAGAATGTTCTTTTGAATGATAATAAAAATTACCCATTAAATTTGAAGTTTCTGTCTTTTTTTTTAAATAGGGAACCTAGAAATGGATCACTTAGTAGTTATATTTAGAGTGTCGGCTCTCTCGACCAACTTAATCTTACGGACTTCCAAAATTATAATATGGGTTTTTATTTGATGTTTTGGACATCGAAAATATTCATCGTCTTCGATGGTTATATGTCCCCTTACAAATGATTACTTCGTTTGGCGCAGAACCCGGTTAATATTCATGAATACTTATATCTGACGAAGTGATTGACAGTTAACTGCGATATTGATATGCATGACCTTTGAAAGTTATTTAGGTTTAACTACAAAACATATGTATTACATTTTTGTGAAGTACTCTCGTAGAAAAGTTTTGAACTAGCCTTCCTTTTGAAATAATTTTCTTGTTTCCTTAGGAATTTAAAATTTGTTTTAGATTTTGGCTCAATGTTCCAAGAATATCCACTTATGGTATGTTACATACCAAAAAATCTAATCTCACCTGCTTTATGGTACAAAATAGCTTATTGAAAGTATTTTAGTGAATCTAGAGGCGTTGCCACAAGACACTAAATTTCTTTGTCATTAATTTAAACATATTATAGAATTTAAATATTAGGATCAATGTGAGATTTCGGCAGCGCGTATCTCAGCAAGTAATCACCCTCACAACGCTTCATTAAAGTGCATTAATAACAATTACTACTATAATAAATTCTACATTTGCAGTAATTAAAGCTAATAAGACTGCAGCAGTCACGAAGCATAAAAAAATTATGAAGGAAACATTTTGCTGAATTAGTGAAGTGTTGGTAACTGCTGACGGCTGTGACAACAAAATACAAGCAAAAGCAACAAAATTGTCAGCAAAATGTCGCACAGCGTGACAACACTGACAGTAATTAATGAAAAGACGCTCAGCAGTAGCGGCGCTCGGCAATTCATATTGATGAAATCCAACTGACAATTGACAACAGTTAGAAATTACAATTATCAATTGTGGCCGGAAATAGTCAAAGGTTCTACAAGAACACATACACACTCAGTGCATGCCTAAAACTTAGCGCGTATGGCAGCTCGAGTCTCAGGCAACGAAAATTTCATGCTGAAATCACCGATTAAGCGAACGCTTTTGTTTGCACAAAAACGCTGGAAAAAATATGCCAAATATGCATCAAAATATTTACGATGCGTCATAAAATGTGCTACTTTATGACTTGGCAACACTGCATGCATAAAGTATGTCAACAGCATGTGCGCCGCCGCTACTCCTTTCGCCCATTAAAGTAAAGGGGATGCGCGTAAGTTATATGAAAAGAAATCTGTAGCATAACTGTGCGACTCAGCATTAATTGCAGTTAATTTTTATTGCAATAATAATAACAATCGCAATCGTATCAATATATCTGTGTATGAATCCTTAGGTATACCGACAGGCAAGCATTCCCAGGCGTCTCGTAACATCAAACGTTTGCTCTTCATTTTTTCACTCGCTCACTATCAGTTTTAATTTTATGCCATCGACTGCTTTTTTGACCCACCCATCGACACACCCATTTATAATATGCGAATTGCTCAAAACAGAAATGTGTCAAGACAAATCAATAAAGTTCTAATTTTATTACCACCATCTGATGGCATCAAGCAGCGAGTTGAGATACCGATCTGTCACTTTCTATTGTCACATTTGACAATTGATATCTCACACATCATTTTCTTGAGTGCACAATGAGATTGTTTATGTCATCTTCAGGGGATTTTGAGTTTACCTTCTTTTTTTCCCCCCCGAAATTTCGCAAACAATGAATTGACTGCATTGATGTTGCCCTTAGTTTGCTCCTTCTTTCGTTGGTACGAAAATAAATTGCAGGCGGCGCTCCTTTCTCTCTTTCGATCGATCAAACGATCCATCTTGTGCGTGCAAATCTTCCCTTGATTTCCTCAATGTTTGCCTTACTTTCTTTTCAAGTAGCACGGCATGAAAGTGGCGCAGTCATAAATGTGGTTAACTGTTGTGCTTTACTTTCTTTACCTTCTCTTCGCCATGTTAGGGATACGATCCTGCCTAAGGGGGTTGCTGCGCGCTGCTATTTATTTTAAACCTATGAACATCGGCTTAAATTCTCATTCTTTGTATGTAAGTATGTGTGTATGTAGTCCGTATGTCTTTATTTGGTCACAGTTCAAGTATTTTTCTTCACTAATCCTCTTCAAAATAGCAACTTATTTTGGCTTAATTTGAATGCGGGTCAATGGTTTGAATTGGCTTAAGATCGTATTACATACAAGATGTTGTGGCATGACAATAATCTTTATTGAAGGATCAGACGTTTATGATTTTGTAAAAGAGCAACAATAGCCTATTAACGTTAAGGACTTATTAGAGAAAGGACAAGCGCTAGAAAATGAATAGAAAGTCATAGATTGCGTAGGTTCGTATTCACCACTAGTTTGGCTGAGAAGTTAGACGGAACGTGTTTGGCTATCCATAGAGAAAGAGGAGAATAAAAGGGTAATGTTTATGTCGAAACACCAAGTGAAGCGAAGTCTTTCCACACTTAATGGGAAGGAAACCCCATTCAGTGACCTTGTGTTCGTGACGTAAACTATCTCGTCCAAAATTAGCTTAGGTCCGAAACTGGGGATTTTCATTAGTGTAACTTAAGCGAATATCTTCAAAGCTTTGATGTGTGATGCTGATTATTGAAGTTCTTCCATTGTCCGTTAACAATTAACCCTTATAAGAGCGGAGTCTTCCATTCGAATTATTACTATGTGAAGTTACGAAGGTTGGTAATGGAAACTTTTGAAACAAGGTTTACAGAGACTAAAATAGGAAGCAAGCGCAATTTGGTAAGGAATAAACTATGAAAATATTTGATCTTATCATTTGGATTGGCAGCAGAATACAACGGGACTTGACGATTATCACAAGCCACATTAGTTCGCAACCGATTAATCGGCATCGGCATCAGCTAAAAATTGGAAATCGCTCGCACACTACAAGTCACTACTCGGTATGAGCTCTATATATACAAACCATATTTGAACAAAGGACCTTTTTCTGATCACAACCTACAAGTATATACCCAAGAACAGTTTTAGTAGAATCGTAAGCGTTAAGTATTGAAATTATGTTTTCTACATACCTATGTCTGAAAAATATTGCGATTGGAAGAAATATATTGAGCTCAAAACTAATGAAGAAGAAGCTCTCTCATCCCACTATATTTTTCACGAATGATCTATTTTGAAAGGAATGCTTGACCCTTTCGAAAGCTGTCTTTTCACTTAATACTTTCTTCTTTCTAACGAATAGATATAACTAAAGGGTTATTTTGCTCCATTCTAACCAATCGACTTTCCCAACTGCCACAAAATTTACATGCATATATATATTCATATGTTTTATATGTACTTATATTTCTATATTCCTACTTTCATTTGATCCAAGTTTCTACAGTTTTTCTAGTACTTAAGTTTAAAACAACAAACCATGTTTAAAGTAATCGTCTTTCTGGAAAGTCAAATTTCTTGATAGTTTGTTGTAAATTACAAAGTAAGGCAAAGGCTGGATGAATCATCATAGGAACCACTTTCAAAGTAGTTGCTTCCGATTAGACGACTCGCATGAAACAAGTTTTCGATGACATCATGACCTTCATTGAATGCTTTGCATCAGCCTAATACTTGTGTTCGTGATACAGTAGACTCCCCAAAACATTTCTGCAACATTTTCACCGAAACATAAAATTTTAAGCGAATGACATGACAGAGCACTCCACATTTTTAATCTAGCAAATTTTCAAATCAAAATTGTTGAAACGTTTTCCAAAATAATCTCGCCCAGGTAAGTCCATTCTTATCTCATATATTTATACATACATACATACATTGGTATAATACTATGTATCTACGTGAACTAGAGATCAACTGACAAACCTTCAAATATCTATAATTTCATACAAGAGCTGTTTTATCTGTTTGATCACTTGGTTATCTTGATAAACCTCTACTACCTCAAATCAGCGCTACAAAAGTTGTACAGTTTATATATGTATGTACTTAGTTTAATCAACTAGACACCCTTTGGTAGGTAAACAATTAATGATTGTATTTGTTGTAACTTTAATTTGTTGAACTGAAATTTTCTTTCGTGTTATCTAACAAAATGATCATTGATCTTCACATGAAATCTCAAATGCTTCTCCACCACGATCACTTGTCAAAATCAACTTCAAACATCAAAACATAACACATAACAGAGAAAATGTTGATGAATCTGTGTCTATGTAATGATTTATCAAGAAAACGTTACAGAAATCCTTTCGTACACAACGCCAACGAGTTCAATCACCCTGCCTAAACCAGACGAGCAACGGAAAATGCACACAACTCAGGCCGATAGCGGCGACGAACGAAAACGAGTAGAAACCACAAGAGTAAAACCCCAAAGTGAAGTGCATGATGTGGCATAGAAGTGTTAGAAAACGAGTTTTCCAAATGCAGCACAGTTTTTATGATAATTTTTTCAACGTTTTTTTTTTTTTCTTTCACTCTACTATTATTGCTATCACGCAACGCCTTTACACAGGCAAATGAGGAAAACAAAATAATTTGTGTGACTTGGAAATATTTGAAATAAAAAAAAGTCAGAAGAAAAATTGTTTTTGTTGCGTAAACAAAGCAGTTCATTAGCGCATTGCCAGCGTGGTGAGAGTACGTTGAGCACTAGCAAAGAGGCGAGAGCGCCTGCGCGCATTGTCATAGCAAAGAGCAGCAGTTGACTGCAGCAGGAGATCCAAGTGGCGTGATCATTTTGGGGAACGCATGTGCGTGTATGGGGTTGGAGAATTTCCCTGCCATCTTGTTGCTTGATCGTGACGCAGCAATTTTCAGCGTGCCTGCGCATAATCGGTTTATTTCTCGCAACCCCATGTTTATACAACGTTTCCGAGGAGTTTAGAAAGCATACAAATACATATATGGTAAGTATATATTTATGTATGTATGTACTAAGTATGTCTTACATTTTAGAAGAAAATCTTGTAGTTCTAAAAATATTCCTATGTAAACTTCTACGTCATTTATACATAACACACAAACACAAATATTTAATGTCGTCTCTATTTATACTTTGCTCATTTCTCCCCCGCTAACAAGCACGTTGCAGTCACAGTGTTTTTTTTTTTGGGGGAGTTTAGAACGCGTGGATTAGCAACGGTTTAGTATGTCTACGTTAAATACAGAAGCATTCTAATATTTTATACAAACAAGAGAGGCGCGTGATTACCAGGAAGGATCAGCAAATGTAACGAGTCTGTATTTATTTGTTTCTTTTTATCTCATTCTCATACGCTCTTTCAATTGCAAGCACTTCCATAAGTACGCTGTTTTTAATCGCGGTAGACCAAAATTACTAACTAACACATCGCTCGATTTTTTGTTAAGTCATGCCACACTGTACTTATGTTATATGTGGCTTGCTCAAAATTATGGCGTGTCTTAGAATAGCAACACCGCAGGCGTTCAGGATGTTTCTCGCTAAGTGCTTATGGATCACCTTGATTGTCTCAATATGCTGTTTGTTTACCTTCCCCACAAAACTCAGTTTTTGATTGATGTTCATCTGTCTGCTTTCCTATAAAGTCAAGTATGCCATAGTTCCAGTTTTGTGGCATATTCCGGTAGCTTCTACAAACATTTTATTCTTTTTAAAAACAAATATTATTTGACTTGTCAGTAATATATCAAAAATGTGAATTTTTTTTCTTCAAGTAGATAATTAGTTAATTACCTAAAGTTTGGCTGAGGCACTGTCTCTTGTTTAGTGAGGTGTGGTTTTAAATCGAAGTTGTTGTGTACTAACAGTAGTGGTGCCACTGAGTAGAGTTATAAAAAATAAACTTTTAAACATTTCTTTTTCACTTAACAGCTATTAAGTTAGATATCAAGCTAATATCTATGAAAGATTAAAACGACCACAGTTAGTTCGGAAAAAGTGTAATATAGACATATGCATATTCCGAAGCCTTTAGAGCAGTTATCAAAAACCACCAGAAGGTATCTGATCGAGCACTTGCTTGTTTTATATCTTTACAAAATATAATTCAAAGTAATATTTGAAATTTAGACTCGAAATAGATCACTAACTTGCTAAATCTTTCGAAACTCATGCATAAGACAAAATTTTTTTGGGTACATTCGATCGTTTAAGAGGAGCTCCAATAACAAGCAATTGAACCCTCGTTAACGGAAAAGAAGCGAAGCACGCAAAATTTGGTTTTATGAGCGCTTCGCACACTCTACAATCCTATAGTTTTCAAAAAAGTAAGGCTGGAAAATTATAACAGTTAGTTTATGCCACAACACCTTGAGTAAAACATCAAAATTTCTCTACTTCTGCGATGCTCCAACTTTTTTAACTCCACTGAAAAAAAGTTTTCCTAAGGTCTGTAATGTAGGCGATATCCACCTCATTCTACTGCTAAAACTTCTACACGGCCAAGGAATTTTTAAAACTTAAAAAGAAAAGTGTATTAAAGGGGATCAATAATTTGAAGAATATAGAAAACGCTAGTGACCACCTTTCCGGCTGATAGGACAGCCTTTGCTTTTTTCGGAACTTATTCGCCGTTTTAAGTCCACTATTTCTATTGTTGTTTGGTCTCTGGTGTGTACCAGTGGATCCATGTTTGGTCGAAGGTCTAAAATTGAAACAGAAATTTCTGTCGTGGAGTGGTCTCACAGTTGCGCTTGTTTTCCGGACTAAACAAAAGTGTCATCCAACGCGTCAACAACTTTCTCGTTTGCAATATTTCATGCGGAATATGACTCACGCAATCAGTTGAGTTACTTATTCCATATGAGGTCGTGGACTATTGTTATGCCAACCTCTGTGGCAGCCGTTTTCGTGGCATTGTGGGCGTGGGTCTTCGGAAACCGATATTCCAGCACATTTAAACACTTTAAATCAATCACGCTCTTGAAATCAATCACGTTCATTGCTTGATTTCCCGACTTCACAATACATCAGAAAACAAAATAGGTTCTACTTCCCTTGGCCTTTCCATTGCAAAGGAGAATGCTACATTCTTTTGCTAGAGATTTTAAAGTTCTAAAGAGCATATTTCTTGAAATTATTCGTTAAATTTGTCCTAGAGAGCGCTGTTGGATTTTTATTCGATGTCTTCATGTATGTGTCCATCGTGTGCTGTTGACAACGTCGCATATTAACAAAAATATATAAATCTTTCACAGCATACTTCTGTTGATCTGCTTTAAATGTGGTTGACATTGTCTGCGATTCTGAACCGTACGTTAAACCATGGTTCAAAAGGTTGCCTACTCCGTTCAGACATTACATGCTTCTAAAACATATTTTATTTTTTATTTTTTTCGAAGTAAGTCTAGGTTGGTTAAGTTACTGATGCTAATGGTAATCTGGTCTATAGCGGATAGTTATTATCCACGAATCTGCGTTGAACGGTTGCTGTGTTAGTAAAAAAAATATCGGCCTGTTTTCAGACTATAAACATTAACCGCAAATAAATAATTATGCTGCGTTAACGCCGCTGCTGGCAAACTGCATGGGTGGTCCACTCCATAAGCGATGTCGCTTCAAAGAAAGGAATTCTCGAGCGCAAGTTTTCCTTTAAAAAAGTAATTAAATATTTAATTATAGTAATTTCTGTTGCAATCCTTTAAAACAACATAAAATCCGTATCAGCGCATCTTTATGGATTTATGAAGAAAATCAGTTAAGTAAAAAAAAAAATGTATTTTTAGAGCGCTGGAGCCGCAACAAGCAGCAGTAGTGAAGCTGGTGAAGAAGGTATATACTGGGATCGTTAATCTTAATCAAAATGCGTGTGAATGAAGAATGGAAATTCAAAATGAAAATGAAAAGCGGTGGACATGATAAAAGAAGATGAGCAGGCATAAGCGCTTGGCGTAAAAGAGCAATAAAAGTAATGATGCGCCTGCGCAGCACAGTAGCCAACAACAATCAACCGCAACAGCAAAAACTATAGCAACAAAAAAAAATCATAAACAAAAATGCATGGCGGCGATCCTTTGTAGTTTGCTGTTACGCAACATTTTCACCGCGCTAAAGTGCGAACAATTGTGGCCAGCCATGTTTGGCAGTTAGTTAGTGTTTTTTCTGCGGAAAAGTCAAAAAAGGTCCTTTAAAAGTAGCAATAAAATGCCAAATTTATTTGTGGCAGGAAGATGAAATTATGATAAGATCGCTGAGAAAAGAAAAGCAAGCAGCAACAAAAAAAAGAAACGAAATGACAAACATTTAATGAGTCGCAGCGAACAAAAGAACATAATAAGAGTACAAAATGAAAAGCGCGAGCAACCTTTCATTATGTATTAGCAACAACAGTGAGTTTCCCAGGTGAGAGGGTTGTTCTTGTACTTGAGAGATCGCTACCATAAGCGCTAATCCTCGGCGCACAATTACATGCTTACAATAACGTGTCTATTCTTCCAAAAATAGCACTAGTATCTGATTGCAAATGTTTCAATCGTCAAGCGTCAATTTTTTTTTCTAGCGTGCGCGTTCCGCCCCACTTTAACGTTCTCAGTCTGCGCTACAAATAATTTGGAGTCAAATTACAGTTGAGACTCGACTTGCTGTGAAAGGATTAAGATTCTTTTCATTTCTATTGCCACTTTAGGTTATAGCACCCTTGTATTTTACTTGTCATGTTGTTGTTGTAACTATTTTACATAACATGGATTTGGTTTTAGTAGGTTTTTTGTTTCACGTGTGCGTGCTTTTCATTCGGTATTGTATCAAATGTCCATTTTAATTATACGCATCAACTGTCAGCTTCTTCTACTGGCACATAGTTAGATAGGTCTCTATACGCATTGTGAGGCAGTTTCAACTTATAGTTCATGATATCATTAAAAATGCAGGCACACATGTATTGTGGGTATAAAAAAAATACCGAAATTAATATTTCGTTGAAAAAAAAAATAAAGTTTTCAACGACTCCAAAGCTAAAACTACATTATTTAACTTTTCTTCGGCTTCATTCGGACAGTTGATCGCGATTTTGAAACATCAAAAAAACCCGTCAGTTACTTTGAACGGCTTGACCAGCACTTGTGTGTTGCCTGTGTAGATACTTATAGCGTCGTTGTTCTCAAATCTCGAACTTAAATTATAGCATAAAGTGTATTGAATAACGATCTTCGCTGAACAGTTTTCTAACATGATAGCCACAAATAAAAATTTGCAAGCGGTGCTACCGATATCAACGGCTGACGTCAATAATTAAATTATTTCCACAAAAGCCTCATCGCCTGCGACCCATATGCTGACATCTTTAATTTATTAGTCACTAGACCAACTTTTTATTACTACAAGAACTCGTCACAGTGGCTACTGGAAGATTCAATCTTCAAAAAACAAGAAAAAACGTTAACTTAATTTAAGATCGATAACTCAAAAACTGAGACTCTAATTCGCGTATATACAGATAGATGGGACATGGTAAAATCAACTCAGTATATATTCTATAGGGTCTCCGACGTTTTCTTCGGGGTGTTACAAACTTCGTGTAAAATCTAATATACCCTGTTCAGTGTATAAATATTAAGAATCCTTCATAAATAAAGTAGTTCTTTCGCGAGTTTAACGAAAAAGTTATATAATATAAGAAGACATTTTCAATACCGCCAAAAAGGTCTAGTAAAAATAAATCCGTTACTTTCGCATTCAATTGATGGTTTTGCTTAGCATAGTTAGAACTAGCTGATTTAGATCAAATTTGCACCCATTTGTACGATAAGTCCACTGTCATAGAAACCCTCGTCCCCATTTGCAAAAAAATGGGACAGACGATTTTTATAAAGTTTGCTTTTTCGCCGACCAAATCATTCGCTACAGATAGGAACAGATAGTAATAACTTGGTGCCAGGTCCGGACTAAAAGGTGGATGTATACGAACGTCCATACTTAGCTCTCGGA